TAGACATGCATACTCAGTATACATGATATTCTCCTTTACTTGCTCCATGGCTCATAAATGCAACAGCAATATAGAAATAACCAAAGCCCTATAATCCAGTGGTTGTCTCACTTTGCATGTATATTTCACACTTAACCCATAGGTACGCCTGAGGGTCACCATCTATCTATGTATAACCTCTCACGCACAGGTTAGATTAGAATCCTGAGTTATGCTTGTTTGTATCTTGTTACATAAACCTGCAGACTACGCTATATAGCATTTTACCTACCTAGCCTGCGACCTATTACCTCTACTAAATATAAAACTGTGAAAGAACTATCGCATACCCCAATGTTACTAATGTCGAAAAAAAGCATGAGGATTGCCGTTGGGGTACCCCATGCAAGTTTGTTATGTTCATATGCACTGCAAAAGTAAAGAATTAAAAAAAACAAAAAACTAATATAAAGCTTACCAAGCGTGACTTTATCCAATGAAGTACATGCCAAAAAAATACAAAAAGATACAATATAGTGCAGATGGTATTTAAAATTGCAATACAGAAATAATAATAACGTAGCAAACTGTACACTCACCTTTTAAGGAGCCTGTATATAAAAAAAACTGGCTCCGTATTAAGGCTTGTGTGCTTTTTTTGGTAGCACCACACTTCCGCTTCGGCTTGGAGTAGTTCTCATAAGTAAGACATAAAAGGAGAACAAACCAATGTGTAGACTGTAGCGATAAAAACACGGATGTAAAATAACAAATGTGGTGCTCACTTGGTCCTGAGCCTATGGGTCCCGGCTCTAAGGTGTATAGATGTGGTGCCAATTTAAATAGGTATGGCACTGCCCATATGAAGATTCCTAGAGACTCCAAAAAGGACTAGAGCAGGATATCTTGAGTAAAATAACAAATTTATTAATATACAATAATAATAAAAAATAAATGGTAAAAAAAGTCCTTAGTAAAAGTCCTTTAAAATGGCCAATACACGTTTCACTCTTAATAGAGCTTCCTCAGTCAGCTGTAATGATGGTCCTCTGAATCTTCCATTATAAGTGTCCTTTAGGTCTTCCCCTTTAATGATCTGAATGCAGTTTATCCAATCACAGTGGTGTATATATATTTCTTATGTGGGATAATTTGTGTGTACACCTTTAATTGGCCAAATTTTCGGCACCTTTATTTACTGACATTTTCATTGCTGGACAATGGTGGTTGGCGGAAGTACTGGGGGCCCACCGGGGCGGTTGGCGGAAGTGACGTCACGGACCTCCGTGAACGTCATCTAGCCGCCGCCTCGAGGAGACTCTCAGATCCCCCGAGCCTGCTACACGCCTCTCATGCGTGCAGGCCGGAGGGAGGGGACATTGATCCATAGGAGGCGATTCATCCATAAGAGGGCTCTTCGGGCGTTCCGATGTGCTCGCATGCTCCTCCCCCCTCCAACACAGCACAGCAATGGAAGGGATTAAATGCATAATTAAATGAATAGTGGGCAGGAGAAAAAAAGAGAAAATAATATAAAAAGAGAGGGAGAAGAGGGGGCATAGGATAATTATAGTTGGTACATTATATTTACATATATACAAAAGCTTAATATGATATTCTCAGTGTATATCTATACCAAGTGACTTATTGTACTTAAAGTGCATAAAGTATAGTGTATATGTAAAGGGATTAAATTATATTAAGTTTAGATTGGTATGTGCAAAGATTGATATCCTTATGGATATATTTTAATGTATCCAGTAGGATATTGAGTGTATGTTAATTAAATATTGACAGAATTATATTCTCAATAAATTATTAAACCACAATTGGGGATTGGATCAACGTATTCAAGAATAGCGTGTGTGAAATATATTTATTTAAAATGTGTTTATTTAATGGGGTCCCAAAAAGGAATATGAAAAATGTCCGAATTGGAGTAACTAGTGAAATATATATTCTTAAATAAAATGACAGCGTTCGAAGTCTATATTCAAACCCTATATTCAAAGTTTTAAAGTCCCGAGGTTGAATATCCACCTCATCTCGATCTGTCCCAAAAGTTTATTAAGGTCCCCTCCTCGCCAATTTCCCTTAATCTTATATATGCCCATGAACTTCAACTCTCTTGGCTCACTATTGTGTGCAAGTGCAAAGTGGTGTGATACACTATGTCCTTTGAATATGTTCTTCAATCCTTATGTGCAAATTATGTTTAGTGTGTCCCACATATTTTAAGCCACAGGGACATACATTACTCGAGTGGCAAGTTATAAGTTCTTTAATGGGGAATTCTTCATTATTATTAAAGTTCTTGAACCTCTTAATGTGTCTCTTTTTATTGTTTGCATTTCTGCATGCTAAGCATGTACCACATCCATAAAAACCTTTTCCTTTGTCTAAGAAAGTAGTGGCCCTTGTTTTCTTAAATTGGCGGCCCCTCTATACACTATTTTAGGTTTTTCTGGTAAAATTTGGGACAGAGCATGGTCTTGTAATAGGATGGGCCAGTGTTTATTTAGAATTTTTCTTAATGCCCTATTGTTGTGGCTGTAGTTACATATAATAGGTAGATTGACTTCACCTTCATTTTGTGTTCTATTTTTTTCTTGTAGTAAAGTATTTTGTGGAATTTTTGAGACTTGTGCGTAGGTGTCTGTAACGGATCAACGAGCACCACGACTGGGTACCTCTGTTGAAGGATGCTGCTAGCACTTCCTGAGGGCTCCAAGCACTCCAGCCGACACCATAACCACCATAGACTCCTCCAGAGAGCAAGGCAGGAACAAGCTCTTACAAGAGATTAGTAGTGATTTAGCAAAGGAGTATGACAAGCATAGCAATCCCTTGTAGCAGAGTCCCCCAAATTGAGGGTAAAGTAGAACTGTCTAAAACTTTATTTTACTTGGGACTAGACCATATGGTCATTACATTAACATTGCTGTGAAAACTCAATACAATTACAAACAGTCAAATCATAGCAGGCAACATACAGTGACTTATTACAACAATTACATATTCATAAATGGATGGGGAAGACCATAATTAACACAAAATGTCTCTCCTGCATGCAGAATTAGCGATATGCAAATCTACCCGAATATGCAAATTACCAGTCTTGCTATTTAGGTAGTGCATATCACTGTTGCTACCAACAGAGGGCACTACACAAGCTCCATAGCCAAATCCACCTAGTTGGTAGCAATTCTCAGCAGTACAGGAGAGCAGGCAATACATCCCAGGGCCATAGTCACATGGCAGGAGGCTGGCAATCAGTCTTCTCCAATGCCCAGTGGTGAGGCTGGTTCCGCCACAGTGTCTTTTAATATTTCCTTTTTGTAGCCCTTATCTAATAGGTCAGTGATTAATATATCCGCTTGTTCCTTAAAAGTGTCCTCATCCGTGCAATTTCTTTTAATTCGTATGAGTCGTGACTTGGGTACACTGTTTAACCATGGGAAAAAAATGACACTGCACTATATTGTATCTTTTTGTATTTTTTTGGCATGTACTTCATATTGTACTATTGGATTAAGTCACACTTGGTAAGCTTTATATTTGTTTGAGCGCTCCCACTTATAGGTGTAGGTCTTTGTCACTTATACCGCTCTGTATTTTACACTGATACATATACTGACACATACAAATACAGACACTCAGATACAAACATTAACACACATGTTGATATACACACAGATGAACAAACTGCCACACATACAAATGTACAGACACAAAGATACAAACACTGACACACATACAAATGTACAGACACACAGATGCAGATACACACACAGATACACAGGTACAAACAATGACAAACATACAGATCAACAGACACACAGATCCAGACAATCATACACATACAGAGATACAGATACATACACGGACACACATGCAGATACATAGACACACAGATACAAACACTGACAGATACAGAAACTGTTACAAACATTGACACACCTGCAGATACACAGACACACACTGCCACACCTGCAGATACACAGACACACACAATGACACATGTAGATACACAGACATACTGATACACATATTGACACACATGCACAGATACAAACACTAATACACACACACACATGCAGATACAGACACAAACACTGCCACACATACAGATGTACAGACACTCAGATACAAACAATGACACACTGTAAGTCAAAAGATAGTGAAGATAGAGCCACTCATAAAAATGGAGGATCACTTTCACTAGATTACCACTAATTAAAAATCACTCTAAAGCAGAAGAAAATCTGTAACATTTTATTAGAAAAACGGTATAAATATGTACACAAAAAACAGTGGGGAACCAGTAACAGTCTTAGATGTTCAAGTCATGATACATCAAATATAAAAAATCTAATTTTCCAAAAGAAAGAGTGGGGAACCAGTAACAGTCTTAGATGTTCAAGTCATGATACATCAAATATAAAAAATCTAATTTTCCTTCACTACTGTTAAATTGTATCCATGATATTTAGCAGAAACTTTGTTTCTAATTTAAAAAAAGATACGTGTAACGAGTCAGTAAGCGCATGGGAACTCAAAGGCAAAATTGGAGGTCAGCAAATGAAAATAAAACAATGTGATGTAGAGGATGTGATCACTGTGTTAAGTGCACCTGACATAAATAAATAGCAAATAAAAATTAGTAGAGCTGTTATAACACTCTAGTGAGTTACTCTCACACCCACTCAAGTTATACAAATACACAAAACTAAACAGATACAATGAGTGGAGCGCTTCATAAGAAAAGGGTACATTGAAATCAAGCAAAGAGGGGAGGCGTGGTTTGGCCGCGAGGGAAGATGGCTGCCTAAGAGGAGAGCTCCGTCCCACACAGCTCCTACAGCCGGCTACCACCGCAGCACAGCGTGCTAATGGGGCGCACAAAACGCCCGGAGGGCACACAAACACCCAGGGCTCACCCAAGCAGCTCCCAGACGGGACCCATGGATGGGTATCTTGCCCCTTCGACGGCCGAGCACCACGAGGTGGCGGGCGCAAGCATGGCCGACTCCCCGACCCGCCCTCTCACCTCTGATCAGGAAGGGCCCTCATTAACAGATATCAGGGCGGACATTAGAGCCCTGGCAGCGGCAATGGTGACCAAAAACGATCTGCAGATCCTGTCTGACAACCTGCACGCAGCGATCCGCACAGAAGTGACTGCACTCAGGGCTGATCTCACCACACAAGCTAACAAGCTCCAGGTAACTGACATGACTGTGCAGGCCATGGGGGACAGAGTGGAAGCCACAAACCTTGCCATAAACAGGCAGGGCAATATCCTTTTAACCCTCAGGAGACAAACTGAAGATCTAGACAACAGGGGCCGCAGATCGAATATAAGGATCCGCGGCCTACCTGAACCTGAAGGGGACGAAGAAATAGAGGCAACACTGCAGATGCTATTTCGCGACATACTGGGACAGGAGGCACCAGAGTCCATGATTTTTGATCGGGCGCACAGAGCAAACAGAGCGCGTGCAGCTGATAACACACCACGGGACATTATTTGCTGCCTGCACGCCTACAAACTAAAAGAAAAAATAATGTACAAGGCCCGCTCGAGACCTACCTGGCGATTCCGCGACGCAGAAGTGGCCCTGTATCAAGACCTGTCACCCCTTACGCTTGAAGCCCGCAGGGCCCTGAGACCCGTCACGACACTCCTCAGAGACAGAGGGATCCCATATAAATGGGGTTTTCCCTTTATGCTCTTAGCCAGACATCAAAGTGAATGGATTCCGTTAAGATGGCCAGAAGAAGTGCCCAGATTCTTACAGCGCCTCAATCTACCACCGACGGAAGTCACTAACTGGATTCTGGGCCCACCGGAGCAGAGACAAGGCCCTCAGACCCCAGGCCAACAACGCAGAAGACGAGACACCACGCCAAGACGCCCACAGGCCCGCAGACAACTAGCACCCTCAGATCCTGAGGAGTAGAGGCGGGAGCTTCCCACCACACCCACCAGGCAAAACAGCTCCACCATGGCACACACGCTCTACCCGAGATGGCAGACCCTGATGGACGCTACCGTTGTCCTGTGTACCGCAGAAAATAGATAAGTACTGCTTGCACACATACATGAGTGGGGTCATATACACGGACACCCACAGCAAGGCCTAGTGGCAACATGATAGCACACCCCTTTGGTTGGACAGCATCTCCAAGTTGAATGGGGAAGGGGGCCTACTGGGGGTGAGGAACATTGGACAAGCTAGAAGCGGCCCAAAGTGGGGGACTAAGTTTAGGTTTGCCTGCCACATACAAGCCGCACAGCTGCTTTGGATTGCTGGTCATCTGCGGGCACCCCAACACACAAGCCATTCGGGCGAAGCGAGAGCGAACTTGCCGTGCTACACCGATAACTGGACTTTTGTCTGGGGTTGGCGGGAGTGGGGGGGAAAAGAAGGGGCCTGAGGGAACACGCACCTAGGCACTGTTATTCCAGGTTGTAATATGGATGATGTATGTATAGGTTATGCTAGTAGAATGGCCTAGGGGTCGGGCCGGGGTGGGGGGGGAGGGGGCTGGGGCTCTAGCTGTGCTGCCTAAGGTATCACCATGTTTATGTGGATGGCACTTGGGGGATGGGCTGGGACTGATGAGGGTGGGGATGGGAGATGCACACTCAATGCTGGGGCACTGTATATTTAAAACGTTGCACACTTTACAGGACACGTATCCCCCCTGACACAGTGTTATTACCATCTCCACATGCACATGCACATCCTACGGCATGGTAAACCTAAGCCCGAAAGATCTGACCCCCTAACGGACAGGTCACGCAACGCTAACTATCCTAGAGACGTCCACCCAAGGCCCTCCCCATGTGACGCAGGCTCATGTGGTGACGACTCCTCCCCCGGCCGCACCGGCACGACCCATTGCACACCGCATGCCACCTTTGCGTTACACTGGTCATACAACACGGTAGGCGACTCAGGGGGGACTGTCAGGTAGACGCCCCGAGACACACCAATAACCTTCCACGCAGGGTAAGACTCCTGGACAACCACCCACGCCCCATTGTCACGAGACATACAGACCGTTCATTTAAGAAAAATAGCCAATGACGTCAGTTTGGAACATGTGGGACACGGACATCTCACTAGGTAACCCTCATACTTTACCGTAAACACTAGATAGTATACTCCTGCTACTCAGCAGGCAACACGCTGGACTAGCCAATTCCACTAACCCCGACCAGACCTGTGTAGACCTGATTACTGGGGGATCCAACTCCGTGGCTGCCCTAGCCCAACTAGGAGACGGTACGGCTTTGAACTCCGCCCAGCTACACAGGTTCCCCTCATACTGAGGGATATACCACACAGAGACCACATTATTGTGGCCTCCAATCAGAGACCTCCCGGGTCGGACCGAATCGGGCGCGGGCCGAGCCGCTGACCTGCGGGGCACAGGCCCTCCAACGACTGGGTGTCATAGCCGACCCACTTCCCGTTGTAGCGCTCACTCATCCCCCCCCACTTATTGCAGTAGGAGTGCGCACGGGCACCTAGATCTCCCCACGGGAGACCAAACACCGCAGGACTTGTACGCGCAATCACTCTCTCTCTATGGCTTACACGGCCGAACCCCTCAGCATCCTAACACAGAACTGTCGGGGCCTTAACCCACCTGAGAAGCGCTCACATCTCTTACGGGAACTTCACCGTAAGCGGATCTCAGTGGCTCTGCTGCAGGAAACGCACCTCAAATCGGTGGACACCAACAGACTGAAGGACAGACGGTATCCAACCAACTGCCACAGCACCCACCCTACTGACCGAAGGGCAGGAGTGGCGATACTGATAGCCGCTAATATCCAATTCACCCAGACGGACCAACTCACGGACCCAAACGGCAGATACCTTTTTCTCAAAGGCACTATATCTGGAAGAATTTACACCTTCGCATCAATCTATGCGCCAAATGCAAAGCAGGCGACGTTTCTGAACAAAACGATTCGCCAACTGGCAACGTTCACGGAAGGTTCGCTTGTCATAGGGGGGGACTTTAACGCGCCACTCGACCCACTATCCGACTCATCGACCGGACACAGCAGCATACCACAAACCGCGATCAGGGCGATAAGGAAGACGCTGTTAGACCTGAGACTGGTGGATGCGTGGCGAACCTTACACCCGACGACTCGAGATTATACGCACTACTCGGCCATTCACAGGAGACATTCGCGTATCGACTACATCCTCATTCAGCAGGAAGGGTTACAACGTCTGCGATCAGCCGAAATTGAACCAACACCATGGTCGGACCATAGCGCAGTACAAGTACACCTGGACTCCCCTCTCTTCAGACCCTCTAAATCGACATGGAGATTGAATGAGTCACTCTTGTTGGACTTGGGAGTAAAGACACTCCTGACGGAACACCTGTCCAACTACTTCACTGAGAATGATACGGAAGACGTTTCTAAAGTGACACTCTGGGAAGCACACAAAAGTGTGCTTCGGGGCCACCTCATAAGGATTGCATCACGGAAGAAGAAGGAAATACAGCAACACATGCTGGAACTTACCGGCCAGATTTCCAATTTGGAAACTCTGCACAAACGGTCACAACTCGAGGAACACTATCGCTGTCTTTTAGACGCACGACGACAATTGACAGAACTGATAGCACGCAAACACCATCGAGCGACGCAGAAATCTAAAGCCTTCTTCTACATCCACGCCAATAAAAGTGGGAGACTCCTGGCCAACATGATCCGACCGCAACAAGCCAGGGCGCAGGTACATGCACTGAGAAGGACCAATGGCACCCTCACACAATTCCCGGAGGATATAGCAAACGAATTCCGTGATTATTATCAACGACTATACAACACCTCGTCGACGCCCGACACTCAACGTGCCGCTCTGCAGGAAGCCACAACGCGCTATTTACAAAGATTTCGACCGGACGCCCTCACGCCGGAGGAAGCGGAAATGCTGGAAACCCCGATCACCATAGAAGAAATACAAGCGGCAATTAAGGCAGCGAAGAGGGGGAAAGCGCCAGGTCCGGATGGGCTATCGGCGGGGTATTATAAAATGTTTGGAGGCATTTTGAATCCACACTTAACAGCAGCCCTCAACCGACTCCAACAGGGTGACAAGTTCCACCAAGAAACACTAGCTGCCACAATTACGGTGCTACCCAAGCCAGGCAAAAATCCCGAAAATTGCGGCAGTTACCGGCCGATCTCACTCCTTAACACGGATGTGAAACTCTTCTCCAAAATCATCGCCACAAGACTACAAACGTATGTCCAGCGCCTAATCCACCCTGACCAAACAGGTTTCGTGACAGGCCGGGAAGCCAGGGACTGCACTCTAAGGGCGTTCTCTATACAGGCATTGGCCCTTAAGGGAGACACGGAGTTGCTAATGCTCTCCACAGATGCTGAAAAGGCATTTGATCGGGTAACGTGGAGCTTCATGATGGCAACACTGCATAAGGTCGGCCTAGGACCGGGAATGATAGCCTGGATAGAGGCGCTCTACGCTAACCCTAATGCCAGAGTGAGGGTGAATGGCGCGCTCACAGACAGCTTTACCATACACAATGGCACCAGGCAGGGCTGCCCGCTATCGCCGCTCCTATTTGCCCTCTCGTTGGAGCCGTTCTTGGACAGGATAAGGCAAACCCCAGAGATTAGGGGGTTTAGACATAAGGACCAGGAACATAAGGTAGCCGCATACGCGGATGACATGCTCTTTTTTATCGACAACCCTATCAACTCCATGCCGGCTCTGATGGAGGAATTTGACATATACGGCCGGGTATCGGGACTGAAGCTAAATCAAACTAAATGCGAACTGTTGAACGTGTCGGCCCCAACAGCTGTAAGGGAACGGATCGAACGCGAATTCCCCTTCCACTGGTGCCCAGGCCAGATGCGTTACCTGGGAATTTGGATACCCAGCGAACCGAAAGAGATATATGCCAGAAACTACACGCCCCTTCTACGCACAATACTGCTCGACCTCAAAAATTGGAACTTTGACCACATATCCTGGCAGGGACGCATAGCGGTGGTTAAAATGAATATTCTACCAAGGTTGCTTTACCATTTTCACACCATCCCCTGGCACGTACCCCCAGAATTCTTTACAACACTTAAATCGGCGGTGATAAAATATGTCTGGAAGGGAGAGAGAGCACGACTCAGCTACGACAAATTGTGTCTACCCAAGAACTGGGGCGGACTGGCGCTGCCCGACGTTCGCAAATATTTTCAGGCCACGGTTTTACAACGGATTAGAGATTGGCACACAGCACCTGAACACAAATTGTGGGCTGCCTTGGACAGGGAGAGTACGAACAAGGCCCTCCACATGTATATATGGCAAGGCACAGCGGACGCGGCACCAAAACTGGGCAATGAATCACCCATCGTACAAACGCTGAAGACGTGGTCTTCCCTGAGGCGAAACCAATATATCTCCCCACAACCAAGCCCCTTGATCCCGATAACACACAATAGCATGATAGGCGGGGGACTACACCGATCTGCCTGGCCGATAGATGGAGACGGAGATTATATCCCGTTGTCCAAGGTCCTGAGCAACACAGGAATGAGAAACCTGCCAGAATGGAGCACGGCGACACTACACACGCTGATGCACAGATTTCGATACACACAATTGCGGCACTTCTACTACAACCTTCCCAACCGTGAAGCGATCCACAGAGAACAGACGTGGTTCGAACACCTCTGCGTGACAAACACCGACACAGACGGCAGAGTATCAATCCTTTACCAGCAGTTGATCACAGGGGATCGCACACGTAAAAATGCATTTAAGAGGCAATGGGAAGAACTGACGGCAAGGACGTACACAGAGGCGCAATGGGAGCAGATATTAATATTACAACACAAGAGCTCCATAAGCACAAGGTATCAGGAGGTCAACTTCAAATTACTCTCACACTGGTACAGAACCCCATCTCTATTACACAGGATATTCCCGGGAACGACAGATACGTGCTGGAGATGCGAATCCCAAACAGGCACCCTACGACATATCTGGTGGGACTGCGCGCGGATTAAACCATACTGGGAAGACATCAAGAGGGAGATAACGACAATCGTGGGTGACTTACCAGAATTTACCATGGAAATGGCCCTACTACACTTTACGGAAAGCTCGATAGCCCAATATAAGAGATCAATACTGAGACACCTGCTCAATGCTGCGAAAGCGTCTATACCAGCTAAGTGGAAGCAGATCCACCCACCAACCGTAGCAGAATGGCTACAGAGAGTTGAGGAAATACACACAGCTGAGGCACGATACGCAGAACTACTAGGGAGAAGCACCAGACATGTCGACATCTGGACCCCATGGTATGTTTATCTCTCCCGTACCAGAACTTAGAGAGGCACGAGCTCACTGCGACACTCGGGGGCTGGGGATGCCCGGGCGCACCCCGATGTAAACTGCTCAAAGACCCTTCCACACCCCCTTCCTTTTCCTCCTACTCCTCCCCCCTTTTTATACCTGCTACAACTACTGCTTGCGTGTAACTCCACTAAGGGACACCGCGGGGGCGGTGCGGCTTGCGGCCGAGGGGGTCGGAACCGGGAGGGCTCGAACACGTTGACGCACAAGATACTACCATGACGTGTAGATAGTTCTACTGACACGATCTTCCGACTTACACAAGACTGAAAGACAGCGGCAGAACAGGCTCTGACGCATGGAGAACATGTCATCGAGGTAGGACATAACTAACTACTGAGCGGATAGGAGCTAAGCAATAGATTAACAATTCATCAAGGTGACTAGACACAGACATAACCCATACCCGACCTAGGGGACACACAAACAGACCCAACCCATTAGGCTAACTCCGACCTCATAATTTCCCCTGGGGTTCACTTCTATGGGAGGCTCCGAGTGGAAGCCTGGATTCAAGGAATCGCCCCCTGATCTGTACTGCATCAGGCACTAGAAACTGAATCCCAGTGTTGGCACCATAATATTGACACGTGTGCATGAGACCTTGAATTGAGCTTTACAGTTTATGTCCCAAATGTCAATCAATAATACTGCTCCTGTATTCGGACTTCATGCATCATATCCGTCTTAATTCTGTTGTTACTACGATGTTACTGCCTTATTTTTCCTGCCAACCTTGCTAGTTCGGAGACACAGCAGCATACTATAATTTAGAGAGGAAGCGTTGCCACGTTTTTACTAAGCTATTCAATCTAGAGTTTTTATCTGTTCTGTAAATGCGTTCTTATGCACCGATGTTACTATTGTATTCATTTTCCTGTTAATTGATATGGCGCTTGACGACTATTGAGAATTCAGGATCGCGCATGATCAACACTTGTATTATCAGAACTAATGCTCTATTTGTTCACACGCACACGTACGCTGTTGTAGCGTTTGCTTATGTTTATTGTACTCACCTGTATGACAAAATAAAGAATTTACAAAAAAAAAAAAGAAATCAAGCAAAGAGTATGTACATATATAGGGAGACAGAGATCAACCATTATAGTGTAAATCTGGTATTAAAGTATATCTTTAAAAGTAAAACTTTTGTATATCAACTCACATTTATAAGAGCCTCTATGAGAAACGCTCAAATCTCATTAGCGGTAGTGTCGTAGGTGACACACTTTATTGTCCAGAGCAGATGTCCTCAAGAAATAAGATAAAAACAGAAAAAGGACTTTTTATAGAGTAGTATGTTTTTACTTTTAAGTCAAATAAAATGCAAGTTGTTTTGCTCACTCATTTCAGAGCCAGAGTACCATGGCTCTGAGTATATAGACTGGAGTGTCTATAGAGGGGGCCCCATCCCTTCTTTAGTAGCAAACAGAGGATGATGCCAGAGTAGGACTTTGAAGTATTTATTAAACTTTAAAGCCAAATTGTAAACATAAAAAAAAAAGTATGAAAGAAATAACATACATAAATACGAAATAAAATAGACCAAATATGGATTGTAATCCGAGACTCGTTTCACCCAGAGGAGTGGGCTTTCTCAATTGGCATATTCCATCCATCCCTTCCAGCTACATTTAAATATCCCCGGTGTTCTATAAAAAAACCCTACCCCGTGAAAATTCCCTACCCTCCTCACTTCCGGTGACGTGGCCGCGCCGGAAGTGGTGAGGAACAGCTCTAGGATCGAGCTGGGCAAAATAACGGCACAGTGTGCACGCGCGGCACAGTACTCCCATCAGAGGTACAGCGCGCGTGCACATTAGTGGGCAAGGAGCGCTTTACGTCCATCCCATCTCCCTACCCCACACCACGCGTGCGCAGTATAGGGGTAGGGAAATTTGATGGCCATTTGTCCTGTGAAATCTCCCTACCCCTATACTGCGCACACGCGGACCCAATCGACCACGCATGCGCAATGTGGGGTAGGGAGATTTCACAGAACAAATGTCCATCATATTTCCCTACCCCTATACTGCGCACGCGCGGACTCACACCATTGGATTAAATCCTGTCTGGAAACAGGTCAGTCTCTCCCTGCTCCCAACACTCTCAGCCATCCGAGGGGAGGGTGCAGTATATTGGGACGGTGGGGGTTTCTGTGAAGTATATTGGGGGGTTTCTGTACAGTATATGGGGGGGTTTCTGGCCTGCAGTATATGGGGGTTTTCTGTACAGTATATGGGGGTTTCTGTGCAGGAAATAGAGGCGGTTTCTGTACACAGTATATGAGGGAGCTTTCTGTACAGTATATGGGGGTTTCTGTGCAGTATATAGGGGATTTC